CGTTGCAAACAAGACGAACAGACCAGGATTCCAAGAAGCACTTTGCAAACGGTTGCCTTCAGCAACCAGCAACGCCCACACCTCCCCTTTTTATACAGCAGTCCCAGGGCGTTGCCTCTCATTGCCTTCTCCTTTTACTTTGGAGTAGTCGCATAGACTGTTGTTGTTTTTCTCTTGCTAATTGACGACGCCTGCGAGCTTCAATTAGCACATCCAGGTGTGAGCCTTCCGAATCTGACTCATGCTCCTCACACAGCTGAGCTTCATCAGAAACACGACTGGAGGGGCCAGGCTCTTCATCAAGCCGTGAGTCCTGTAATTCATCAGAGCCTCCCTCTGACCCTGACGGCCCCTCAAATGCCTCCTCCACCTCCTCCTCAGATTCCTCAGACTCAGCTGTTGGGAACACAGGCTGGCACGGAATCACAACACCTGCAAAGTCATGCGTGGCTGCCCCCGTGCTGTTTAAGGAGAAGAAAGATGGGTCACTGAGACTGTGGGTGGATTTTAAAGGGTTAAATGCAGTCAGTGTAGAGAATATGTACCCCCTCCCCCTGATGAAAGACATGTTGGCCCATTTGGCGAAGGGAAAGTTTTTCACAAAATTGGACTTAAGAGAGGCTTATTACTGGGTGCGAATGAAAGAGGGGGATGAATGGAAAACAGCTTTCAACAGCCCTCTGGTAAGCTTTCAGTTCAAAGTTATGCCCTTTGGCCTCCAAGGGGCCCCTGCTGTGTTCATGCAATTGATCAATCAAGTGCTGCATGATCACCTGTATAAAGGAGTCCTAGTCTATCTTGACGACATCCTTATTTACACAGAGACTATGGCGGAGCACATCAGATTAGTACGCAAAGTGCTCAAAAAATTACTGAAAGCAAAACTTTACGCTAAACTTTCCAAATGTGAATTCCATCAAACGAGCCTCAACTACCTTGAGTACAGAATCTCCAGCGAAGGGGTGGAAATGCACCCAGCCAAAGTCAAAGCAGTGCTGGAATGGCAGCCCCCACAAACCTGCAAGCAGCTTCAAAGCTTTCTGGGATTTGCAAACTTTTATCGGCAGTTCATTCCCTCATTTGCTAAAATAGCTCTGCCAATTACTGAGCTACTGAAAACCGGAAAAGGCGGGGGGAAACCTTGACCCTGTCAGCCCCTTCCATGGTTTATGGAATGCCAAGCGGCATTCAAGAACCTAAAAAGACTATTTGCTGCTGAACCTGTTCTCAAACACCCTGATCCTGACGAGCAGTTCATAATTCAGGCTGATGCAAGTGTTGTCGCAGTGGGAGCAGTCCTCCTGCAGAGAAATCAAAGAGGAGACCTACAACCCTGCGCCTACACCTCCAGGAAACTGACACTGAAAGGTGATGGGCTATATGGGAAAAGGAGGCTTTCGCGGCGAGGTGGGCCCTACTAATTTGGTGCCATTTTCTTGAGGGGGGTAAAGTGCCTTTTGAAGTGTGGACTGATAATAAAAATTTAGAGGCACTAAGGACTGCTTGAAAGCTGTCCCCCAAACAAGTCCGTTGGGCGCAGTACTTTAATCATTTCAATTTCACTCTGAAATACTTCCCTGAGGGAAAAAAATTCCTAGCTGATGCCTTGTCTAGGATGCTCCTGTACAAAAGCCGCCGAGAGGAGATTGTAAATTCTATTATTCCGCTGCCACAATCAGTGTCACAAGTAAACACTAGGGGCCAAGTGCACACGCAATCTACCGAGCCAGATAGCCTTTTGACAAAAAACTTAAGGAAGAGTTAAAAACTGACACTTGGTTCCAGGCGAATAAGACCTTACTGACCCAACAGGATGGTCTAGCCTGGAAGGCTCTAAATTGTACCTGCCTGATACCCTCAGACTCCAGGCACTTCAACGCAGTCATGACACCAAGCAAGCCAGCCACGTTGGGTTCCTAAATACATTACATTTGGTCCGGAGGCAATTTTGGTGGCCAGGGATGAAAAAGGACATTGAAAGCTACGTAAAAATCTGTGCCACTTGTGCCATGAAAGAGCAACCTGGAAACCCCCTGGATTGTTGCAGCAGGTAGCGGACCCCTCTCAACCCTGGGAGGAGATAGCTATGGATTTTATTGCTGAATTGCCGTAAAGTAGGGGGAATACTGTAATATGGACTGTCATTGATCTCTTTTCCAAGCAGGCTCATTTTATAGCCTGCTCAGGGCTTCCCTCTGCAAAGAAATTAGCCAAGATGTTTCTGAAACGTATATACCGCCTCCACGGTGCTCCAAAGAGGATTATATCAGACAGGGGAGTTCAATTTACGGCGAGGTTTTGGAAAGACTTTCTCAAGCTAATTGGGTCCACACAAGGACTTTGTTGGCTTTTCATCCAAGCACGAATGGATCGGCTGAACGAGCTAATGCGATGGTAGAACAATACATCAGATGCTACACTGACTATCAACAAACTGACTGGGCTGACCTCCTGCCTTTTGCTGAGGTGGCTTACAATAATACCGTGCACAGCAGTACTGGGCTTACTCCATTTAAAATAGCCATCGGCAGAGAGTTCGTTCCTATGCCTGAATACCCCCAAGAACGACCTGCCTCACAAACTTTAGATCAGTGGGTGACATCATGGCAGACTGTGTGGACTGATGTAAAAAAAGCTCTAACACAAGCCACAAAAATGTACAAGGAACAAGCTGATAAGAAGTGATCCCCTCAGAGAAGTTTAACTTTGTATACTGTAACTTTTTGGAGGGAACTTTAGTCTTGGTTTCACTTTTTACAGTGCCGATACTTTGTAGCCAATAAGCATGTTCTTAAAGGAAACCTCAAGCCTCAGAGTTCTGTTTTAGTGGGTCTCATCTGTCAGAACCATGACATTTATAGCAATAGTAATAGCAGTATACCACTTCACAGTGCTTTACAGCCCTCTCTAAGCAGTTTACAGAGTGAGCATATTGCCCACAACAATCTGGGTTCTCATTTTACCAACCACGGGAGAATGGAAGGCTGAGTCAACCTTGAGCCAGTGAGAATCAAACTACTGAACTGCAGGCAGCCAGCAGGCAGCAGAAGTAGCCTGCAGTACTGCATTCTAACCACTGAGCCACCATGGGTTTGTCAAAAACAGATCATGCCAGACAAATCTTATTGCATTCTTTGACAAAGTGACAAAATTAGTGGACCAGAGGAATGCTGTGGATATAATTTACTTGGACTTCAGTAAGGCATTTGATACAGTAGACTACAACCTACTACTTGATAAGATAGAAAAATGTGAGATAGACAGTATCACCGCCAGATGGATTAGTAACTGGCTGACCAACCGCATTCAAAATGTAGTCCTTACTGGAACTGCATCTACATGGAGGGAAGTGTGTAGTGGGGTACCTCAAGTCTCTGTCTTAGCCCAGTACTCTTCAGTAACTTCATAAATGATTTAGACAAGGGGATAGAAGGGGAACTCATCAAATTTGCAGATGACACCAAGCTGGTAGGTATAGCCATCACTCCAGATGATAGGCTCAAGATACAGAAGGATTTCGACAGACTTGAATAGTGAAAAGGACTAGGGGTGACATGATAGCAGTGTTCCAATATTTGAGGGGCTGCCTCAAAGAAGACGGGGTCAACTTATTTTCCAAAACACCAGAAGGCAAGTCAAGAAGCAATAGATGGCAACTAGAAGTAAGGATAAATTTCCTGACAGTGAGAACAGTTAACCAGCTTGCCTTCAGAAGTTGTGGGTGCTCCTTCACTGGAGACTTTTAAGAAGAGATTGGACAACCATTTGTCTGAAATTGTATAGCAGTGGCCCCCAACCTCTTGGGCACCAGGGACCAGTTCTGTGGAGAGAGGTTTTTCTGTGGACCAGATGGGGTGTGGTTTCCCGTGCTTCCTGCAACCTGTGGATGGGGCTTCGCTTGTTTGCGCGGCCTGGTTTCTGGCATGCCATGGACCGGTACTGGTCCATGGACCGGGGGTTGGGGACCCCTGTTGTATAAAGTTTCCTGCTTGAGCAGGGGGTTGGACTGGAAGACCTCCAAGCTCCCTTCCAACTCTGTTATCGTTTCCTCACTGCAAAATTTGCAGCAAATACAGTTTTGAAAACACAGGTCAAGTATGAAATTACACAAATTTCCTTTCATTTTGTTATAATGAGAAAGATTGAAGATAACCAATTGCCCCCACATAACAGCCTAATGTAAAACCTGATGCTGTACATGGATTTTAATATAGGTCAGCATACATCAAGTTCTTCTATAAAAGCTGCTAAATCTTCTTTCCAAAGGTCAAAAGAAGATTTTCGCTTGAGATCACTGAGTTCCTTTCCCTATAAGAGAAAAAAGAATAGTAAAATAATTTGCATTAGAAACATGTTCTGAACACTGAAGGTAAGAAAATATAAGAACATGTAAATATAGCCTTGCTGGATCAGGCTAAGTCCCATCTTAGTCCAACATTTTGTTACTGACAGTAGCCAGAGTTCTGAAGTGCTCAGAAGCAGAAGCTGGAAATCTACTTCTCTCCTGCTAGTGTTCCCCTACAACTGGTATTTGGAGGCATGATTCTCTCAACTGGGAGGTAACGTTAAGACTTCAAAGCTACCTTTTGACACACCTCTCCTTGGTAAAATTGACCTTCTAAATCAAAATTATCAAGACAAAGTAGATAGCAATTATATACATTTTCTTAGATAGCTGATCAATAATTTAACAGTGCTATTAAATTATACATTTTGTGAAATAAATTTAATTTAAAAATAAACAGTTTAACTTGCAATTTTACATTTTTTCAACATAAAATAATATTCTCAACAGCAGATTAGGACATACTTTCATATTCAAAACTCAGAAAAATACCTACTTTTGCATCACGCTGCTTAATGATTTCTCCAACGTTCTCTTTAGTAAGACACCATAAAGACATATTTAAAATGTAATTGAAATCTGGAACTGAAGTAGATCCCAAAGAGGAGGAAATATCATCATTCAGATTCTGCATTTCTTCCTCCTCAGCAGCCTATTTAAGGATCAAATTAGTTATAATACTGCAAACACATACAGAAAAATAATGAATGGGGAGACATAGTAGAAATTCTAATAAATGCAGAAAATAAATTTTAATATTTATATTAGGAGATAATCAAAACAATTTTTAAAATTGTTAAATATAATGCTCAAGATACAAACTGTCAAAAACACTGGCATGTAGACAGGTCTCCAGATAAATGCAAAAGGTATTATAATATGAATAGCAGGTTTGTTTGTATAATATGTAGATATTAATAATAGATACAACAGATATTAATACATTATCCTGGAGACTACCACACAGAGGGAAGGTGAAACTAGAATCTCAAATTCTAATTACATCTATACAGTTGTTACAAATACATAGTGACTTGGACTGAGTCCCTATCTAAGAAAGGGACAATTAAAAAAAAACTTTAAATACTATGAAAAGAAAGATTTTTTTCAAAAGTCAAAATCACTATATTCTGACATTCCTCCAACCCTTTGTTTCCTTTCTTACCAATATAACATATATTGAGGAATTATAGAATAGCACCATTCAGAACAGGATAGGCTGGCCCTGATTTTCATTCATTGAAGGAAATATCTTAAAAGGGGTGTACAGTTCAGTACAGTAATAGTATTTCTTGCAACCAGTCAGCTTGCCTAGGCTTAAACTCCTTCTTTAGACTTTGCTGAAAAGGTCTAAATATTTATCCTGTAGAAATGTATGAATGTGACTGTGATTTTCTCAACAAAGTAAATGAAAAAGACTAAAGCGGAAGTATGACTTACTTTTTCTTGCGCTTCCTTCCAGGCTTTGACAGGGTCAGATTCATAACCTCTCTGGACTAACATCTGAATCAAATCTCTCTTTGATTTGTTCTCTATGGAGGGGAAAAAAAGCAATGAAAAAATATAATCACCAAAGAGATTGATTCAAGAGAAAATTATAAATTACATATCATCCTTTAATTCTAACTTATTCTTACCTATGGTAATTTTTCCTTGTATTTTCTCTAAAATAAAGCGAGCTTGATTGTTAAGCTTTGTAGATTCTGCCCCTAACATTCCTACAAGCCACTCCTTGCGCAAACTGTAATAATTTAAACGTAAGTCAAAAAATTCTTTTAGGATATCTTGCACAGTTTCATATTTCTTCAGACACCCCATATGATCAAATAGTACCTGTACAAATGTAAAAACAAATCTGATTAAAAATTATTTCCACTATACCACATTGTTAAATAAATGCTATTATTTCTAGAGGAAAAGTATCATTATTATAGAAAACAACAGTCTTTTAAAATTTCTCATGTTTGAATTCAAAATTCAGATTTCACTTGTTTTACCTGAAGTCAACAAAGCTGTTTTTGGTAATTAATAAGCATGTGTTTCTCTTTGTTAAGTATATCTGAAGGTTTTTCATTTTGTTTTTTCCAAAATATCAAATGTTAAATTAAAGCCAATGAAGCATCTTATTTAACTTACAACTAGCCATTTTGTTTGTATATAGTGCGACAGTGTATTGCTCATGGCCAGCATGTACGCAGAGGGACTGGGGGAGGATGTGCAGGTGGTAGAGATTTACCCTAGTGACTTGCTACCTTCTCTGCAGGCTTCAACACTGACTTTTTGAGGCAGCCAACAGAGAAGTTTGCGAATGACGATCATGTGATGAGGCCTAAGTGCAAACTGGTTACAAAGTGCCCAGATCACAATCATGTGGCCATAGGGGTGCTAGGATGGCTGGAACTCCAAGAACCAGTCATAACCACCATTCATCCAGTGCCATAATAATTTCAAATGGACACTGAATGAATGGTTGTAGGTCAGGGGTGTCAAACTCACAACGTCATGTGACGTGTTGCGATGTATTCTGACTTTTTTTGCCATTGCTGGCAATGGGGTGGGCGTGGTTTCGCTATGATGCATTCAGCCCACGGGCCAGCAGTTTGACACCCCTGTTGTAGGTAGAAGACTACCTATAGTGCAAAAAGGCAGTAGGTATCCATCTCCCAATAATGTCTTTACACAACTTGGGCAAAAGTTCAATCAATCAATTTTATTTTACCCATAGACCAGCATAGAACTAATAACGTAACAATTATGCTAAAATAGAAATAAAAAGTCATGTTGATGGAATAAGGTAAAGGTAAAATTACAGAGTACAGGTTTAAAATGCAAAACAACCCTATGAAATTACAATTAATTTTACAATGAATGATGTTAAGAATAACTAGGACAAATAACTATAAAATGACAGTCATGTGAAAAAGAAAGTACACCCTCTTTGAGTTCTATGGTTTTACATATCAGGACATAGTAAAAAGCACCTGGTACTTAGCAGTTCTTAAAAGTTCTTAAAAGTAGGTAAATACTACCTCAGATGAACAACAATACATGACATATTACACCATGTCATCATCATGGAGAAGCCATGTGTGAAAAACTAAGTGCACCCTTACTGCTTCCATAGGTATGAAGAGACTAAGTAGCAGCCAGATGCTGCTAATCAAGTGCCCTTGATCAACTGATCATCAGGAAGTGTGACTACCTGTATAAAAGCTGAAGTTTTAGGAGTTTGCTGGTCTCTAGCATTGAGGTGTGTGTTAACACAATGCCAAAGGGTAAAGATATCAGCAGTGACCCTAGAGAAGCAATTGTTGCTACCCATCAATGTGGGAAGGGTTATAAGGCCATTTCCAAACAATTTAAAGTCCATCATTCTACTGTGAGGAAGATTATTCACAAGTGGAAAACATACAAGACAGTTGCCAATCTTCTCAGGAGTGGACGTCCCAGCAAATTCAACCCAAGGTTAGGCCATGCAATGCTCAGAGAAATTGCAAAAAATCCAAGAGTTACATCTCAGATTCTACAGGTCTCACTTAGCATGATAAATGCTGAGGTTCATGACAGTACAATTAGAAAAAGTCTGAACAAGTTGGTTTGTTTGGAATGGTTGCCAGGAGAAAGCCTCTTCTCTCTAAAAAGAACATGGCAGCAGGACTTAGGTTTGCGAAGTTGCATCTGAACAAATGACAAGACTTCTAGAGAACACTGTCCTTTGGACAGATGAGACCAAAGTGGAGATGTTTGGTCATAATGCACAGTGTCATGTTTGGCGAAAACCAAATACAGCATATCAGCACAAACATCTCATACCAACCATCAAGCACAGTGGTGGAGGGGTGATGATTTGGACTTGTTTTGCAGCCACAGGACCTGGGTACCTTGCAGTCATTGAGTCAACCATGAACTCCTCTGTATACCAAAGTATTCTAGAGCCAAATATGAGGCCATCTGTCTGACAGCTAAAGCTTGGCCGAGATTGGGTCATGCAACAGGACAATAATCCCAAGCATACCAGCAAATCTACAACAGAATAACTGAAAAAGAAAAGAATCAAGGTGTTGCAATGGCCCAGTCAAAGTCCAGACCTCAACCTGATTGAAATGCTGTGGCAGGACCTCAAGAGAGCTGTGTATAAACAAATGCTCACAAACCTCAATGAACTGAAGCAATGTTGTAAAGACGAGTGGGCCAAAATTCCTCCACAATGATGTGAGAGACTGATAAAGTTTGCAGATGATACAACAGTAGTGGGCCTTATTCATGATGACAATGAGGGTGCTTACCGCAAAGAGATTGAGGGGTTTGTGAACTGGTGTAAGGAAAACAGCCTAGTGCTCGCTTAGGCAGCACATATACTAAAATTGGAACGATACAGAGAAGATTAGCAGGAAAATAGCCTAGTTTTAAATACTGGAAAAACCAAAGAAATCACTGTCGATTTCAGAAAAGGCAGGCACAGCCACACTTCTCTGTGCATTAATGATTCACCTGTGGAGATGGTTACCAGCATCAAATTCCTGGGTGTGCAGCTAACGAGTAGGCTGGCTTGGTCGCTCAACAGTGAGAAACTGGTGAAGCGGGCACAGCAGCGCCTGCATTTTCTGCGTCGCATGAGAAAAGCACATCTTCCTTCTCCTATCCTTACCACTTTCTACAGGGGGACGATTNACAGGGGGACGATTGAGAGCATCCTGTCATACAGCATCACAATCTGGTTTGGAAGCATCACTGCTTCAGACAGGAAGGCGGTGCAGAGAGTGGTGAGGACGGCTGAAAAGATCATTGGCAGTTCCCTCCCTTCCATCCAGGACATAGCATATAAGCGTTGCTTAAGCAGGGTCTGCAAGATCGTCTGGGACACTACACATCCTCTTCACGACCTGTTTTCCTTGTTACCTTCTGGGAGGAGGCTTCGTGGTATCCGTAGCAGAACATCCAGATTCAGCCATAGTTTTATTCCATACAGCATTAACCTTGTGAACTCTCAAGCTTCCTCCTTCCGTTATATTTTCAAGATGGACAGTGTTTAATATTTATTTGTTATGTATATGTTGTCAACGCTGTTAATATGGGATATTATTGCTTTGACAAGATATACAGAACTGTCTGGTATTTTTAGAGTTAATTCAGATGACAGAGAAAGGGAGGAGCTTTATAAGGAAAGCCCGGGAAAAGGAACGGAAGTGAACCTTTGCCCTCCGGGCTAATTGGAAGATGTGACTTATGACTGCAAAATAAGGGAGGGGTTTAGCAAGAAAAGTTAGACGCAAGCAAGAGAAATTCAGATTCTGGCATCCATTCAATATGTGCCGACAATGTGTCCATGATTAAAGACTTTTTCAGAATAAATATGCCTGGAATTTCCTTGAAGTGTTCCATTAGTCGGAACCTGACATATGTAGGGGTGTGGGTCTATACATATGTTGTATATAGTATGTTAGGTGTGTGTCATATATGTGTTCACTTTGAGACTGGGCAACTAAATTTCATTTTTGATGTGTGCCGTTGTGCCCAGTTTAAAAAAATGACAATAAAGGTTATCTTATAGTCATACAGAAAACGATTACTTCAAGTTACTGCTGCTAAAGGTGGTTCTACAAGCTATTGAATCATAAGGTGTACTTTTTCATACATGGCTTCTCCATTTTGGCTTTCTTTTTGTAAAATAAATGATGACATGGTGTAATATGTCATGTGTTGTTGATAATCTGAGTTTGTATTTACCTACTTTTAAGAACTACTAAGGACCAGATGATTTTTACTAGGTCCTGATACATAGAACCATAGAACTCAGAGGGTGTATTTTCTTTTTCACATGACTGTATAGGCTAGTCTCAAGGAGGTTTTATTTTAAAATACCTTGAAAAGGCATTTCCAGCATCATTCTAAATGAATAATTACCAGAGACTGGATGATCTAAAGTAGATAGCAAAAATAGGAATGAATCCAGACAAGCTAAGGGGGCTCCTTCTATTCAGTTGAAGGAGTAGACTGGGGGCTGTAATTCAATCTGTTCTGGAAGGGACTAGACTCCCTTACCTTATGATTCTGCTTTACTTTTAAAAGTTGGGGATGATTGGGAGTGTATTGTGTTCAATACATGAGCTGCATTAACAGTCATCTCAAAACAGTTATTCCTGCCTTGGTTATATTACATTTATGCAGGACAACGCCTTCTGTGTAGGACTACTTTTGAAGAGTAACAGTAGAACTATTCCTAAGGTATTTTTACTATTCCTCAAGTGTTTTAGGACCATGTGTACCTATTAAGGTCTATAAATTATTATACCAGTAGTCCATATTTAATGTCCACTTGTTCAGTGACTGTTCAAAGTTACAATGGCATTGAATGAGTACTTACAAGGAGTTCTCAAAGTTGTGGCCTTCACAGTGTTCCTGTGGTCACGTGATTGCAATTTGGGCGCTCAGCAATGAAGCCAA